TATTGCTTGAAATCAACGATGCACTTTCTGATTTAACTGCTAATACTGTTTACGTGAACAAAGAAATTACAAACAATGAAAGTATGATAGTCCCTACAATACAAGTTTAAGATATGTTATCTGGTGTACCGGTGTTACTATCGTAACAGCTGCGCTTAAACAATTAACATATTATTTCTTTTATTTATTAATTTATCTCCTTATTTATCTATCGATATACTAAACCTATTAGTTAGTTCCTTCTATGGGCCTTTTTCAAACTGACAAACTAGTAGATTTGTAGATACAGGTTTTTGTATTGTAGGTGTATTATATTAACCTAGGTTCTAGTACTAATTTAGAAGTAAAGTAAAAATATATCGATATTATGCAATAAGACTAATTTAGAATAGAGTAAAAGTAAAGGGGCTGATGTGGCTAATGAGCTAATAAATTTTCCGTTTATTTACCGCAGCTAATATTAATAAATTTAATCATTCGTAGTGAATGATCGTTAAATATTTATATAGTTTCTTCTACCATTAAAATATAATTTTTTTTTTATAAGCAGTTAGTTTTTAATCGATGCTGACATATCTAATATTAAATATATGAGATTATAAAAAATTTAATATTCCATAACCATTATTAAAATAATAGATAATTCTTATTTATATGATAAAATAAAGTTATTTATACCAATATTATTGTTCGTTAATTAGTTACTAATAATTAGCCATTTTCTTTTAAATTAATAGATAAAATAAATTATATTAGTAAATAGAAGATATTCCGATCCTCAATCTGATTAATCAAAGATATAATACTGTTCATCGTCCTCCTCTTTATTGCTTCATTACTATAGGTTTCAACTATTTCGATTTCGACTTATCGTCCGCATTTCCATCAACAATTTCAACAATCGATTCAAGATTTTTTTAAGTTTAACATTCGCGCTTCCATTTTCATTCTTGTCGACCTTGCCATTCTCAGCTATTATCGCTTTAAAACCACTATTTGATTCATTTCCTACATCTTCTTTGCTGGGCTTTTGTCGTCTCTTGGTCCTCTTTTAACAATTATACTGAATGTTTCATTAGCATTTGGTCTCTAGAATTCTAACTCTGTAAGTATTCAATTTCTTTATTGTTCGTCTACATTTCTTTATTTCCACTACATTTTTAGCGTCCTCACTCACTTTCACTTTGATCTTCTAATTTTTTTCATCAACATTAGTTTTATTAACCACTCATCTGTTATATAAATTTACACAAACAGTTGATATTTATAGCTTTGGTGTTATGATTAGGGATGGCAACAGTTACGATCGGCTATGATTTTCATAGTCGGTTTTCTAAAAATTGAGATGATTTTTTATTTTTGAGTTTTTAATTAAAGTTGTTCAGAATTATATACTGTACATCCCATATTATAAGTGGAAAGACGATACCTTCTCTGGAACTCAGAATTTCAAAATTTGTTAATTTATAACCGGTTATTAGCCAGCAGTTAATAACCAGTTATGATTTAATAAATTTTGAAATTCTGAGTTCCAGAGAAGGTATCGTTTTTTCCACTTATAATATGGGATGTACAGTATATAATTCTGAACAACTTTAATTAAAAACTCAAAAATAAAAAATCATTTCAATTTTTAGAAACTCGTCTATGAAAATCATAGCCGATCGTACCGTTGCCATCTCTAGTTATGATAGCTGAGATATTAACTAAAAGCCTTTGATGAACATGATTCTAATATCAAACTTGCAATTGAGATTAATCGTGGATTATGGCCAGAATTTGCTTCCAGAACTCCTGAATACTATATTTAATTAGCTCAGCAATGCATGGAGAAACGACCTAATGATTATTATATTTATAAAATAATTGATTTATATAGTGCTTTTCGAAACTGAGTTTGTTAAATTGTTTAACCGTTTCTTTATACAATTGAATCAACTAGCCAATCTGATGAATGTTTATTTTTACTAATTAATTCAGGTCACCTGAGTAGCAGTAGGTTGACCTAGTTAACGTACCTTATATGAGTTACTTGAGTGACTCTTATACAGGTACTATTTCTATATAAGAGTGTTAAGGATTATAAATTATGTAAAAAAAATACAAGCTTATCACTACAAAATTTATTATGTGTAGTATTAAGTTATATAAATTGCGTTTTCTAGTGACAGAGCTCATAACTTAAAATGCAAATGTGTATTTATTAAAACGAAGATTCAATTTATCAAGAAATTTGCATAATTAATTATATATATAGGCTCAAAGTTATTATAATAATGAGTCATCTAGTAAATTTAAAGAAGTCAATAAGATAAAAACATAGATTATTTCAGTTAGCTAACTTGTGAGTCTGACTAATTCTAAATAATTAAAATCTATTTTTTTTTTTTTTTGTATTAAATTCGCATGTAGTTATAAAGTTTTCATCTTGATAATAATATCATTATTAACTTCATTGTTGACTATTACTATTCTTATTTCTATTGAATATTACATTTTATCAGTTTATATATTAAATAAAAAAATTTTGATCAATAACTATCTCTATTATTGATATGATCTTCTTCTACTATCATGTATCTAGTTTTACTAATTAGAATTATCAAGTTAATTAATAATATATATTATTTTGATATGAAAAGTAAGTATATACAATCTATTATTTATGAATATATAAAATTGTAAATAATTTTTTTATTCTCTATAATTTTGAAATAAGTAATAATAATACTCACCAATTTGTAAACTTTACCTACAAATCTATCTACCTCAACAATATCTGCAATTTGATCCATCAATACAAAACTCACAAAATAATCAATTGTCACAAAATACTCAATTATTGCAAAATATTCAATTGCTACAAAATACTCAATTTGTGACATCAAATATTCTAAACACTTGCTTAAATTGTATATATAAAGAATTAGAGAATAATAATGAATTAGATAAACTATTTAAAGAAACTGAATAACTAATTGAAGATGAAGATATAGCTAATACAGATTATGAAAGTGAAGCTGAAGATTCTAACTCTAATGATACTACATTATAGCTACATACTGATATTTGTAAACTTCTCAACATACCAGTACTAAATTGGAATCTTTATAAAAATAATAAAACCAAATTTTATAGAAGTGTTGCAATTAAGCTTGAAAAAAACAAAATATTTAAACAAGTAAAATCTAAATTATTTAGTTTAAAATCAAAATATACTCAAGAGAAAAAGAAAGTAATAGGTAAAACACCTTCTAAATAGCCCTATCTAGAAAAAATAAACTACTTGTTTAATACTTGAGAAAATATTAATTCAAATTTCTTAATATTCTCTTTAATATCAGATAAAAAAGACTAGGTATATATTGTTATATTGGTTTGACTTCTTTTACAAGACCAACTAACTAGAGAAACTAATAACAGTGAATACTTTGTGTAACATCCCTTGTTACTGTATTTTGTCAAAGTCTTTAGAGTATTTTTGTAAAACTTAATAAAGAAGATTTAAGGTAATTTGCAATTATGAAAGAGGCAACAATTAAAGATATATGAAGA